TCTGCATGCAAACAAGAACCACTGGGCTTGAAATAATCAGTCCCTCATTACATCTTAAATGCCAAATACAGCCAAATGATTGTCCACTTTTTTTTTCTTTTTTTTTAAGGAATTGCATGATTTTATGTCTATTACTGATACAATATTTCCTATTGTTTTGTAAAATCTGTTACTAGATCAGTGTTGATTCTCAGCTTCTAACTAACCGAACAGAAGTAGAACAGGTTTTTCCAATATATCCTTTTCCTCTCCGTATTTTTTCAGGAATATTTTACTGAATAAATTCACTAACAGCATTCTTAGAAACTATGAATTTTAAGTGCATATTAACAATCATCTACAGACACAAATTTTCAACACGTGAAACTAAATTTTTAGACCAAATAATTTCAAGCAACTTTGTTTCAGCAGTTTAAATAATCCCATCTCAGCTCATGTAACTGAGTCACATAAACAGACCATGGCTATGCTTTTAATCCAGTGCTGCACAGAATCAAATGAGTTACTGTAAATAGCCTTTAGTAGTTATTCTGTCACAGAACAGGAAAAATACTCTGTGGTTAATGTATCCAAACCAGACTAACACAAAATCTTTGAATTTTAGATTCTGAATATTCTTACCCATCTGCCTGCAAATGATGCAGCCACTGAACTTTGAAAAGCATAAGCATTTGAGGAAAATCAGAAGGTGCTCACAGATCTTTTTCCAAAATGTTTATTTCATTGAAGAATGTGATTCATTACAAAGTGTTTTTCACTTCCAGTAATGAGAGGGAAGAAAAGGAAAGCCATACAACACAGAAGTAGCTTTGAACGTTTTAGGCCACGATGTAAGGAAGAGATTTGTGTGCACAGTTCAGGCTTCTGCAGGTGCGACAAACCAGGTAAGATGGGATTCGTAGCATATAACTTCAGCCATCTGGAAATTAGACTTTTAATTTGGTAGCGGCCTAGGTTCCCTCTAAAGCCAGTAGCAAGCAGGCACTTTCAGAGGAGTCATACACTTTAGATGGGTTGAATCATCCTCTGCTTTGATTACCAGTTCAAACAGTTCAAACCTCAGACAACTATCTTTTAGCAGGTTAATCTTAGGTGAGATGAATCCTACTTACAGGAGGGCCTCGCTTCCCATCAGAGACAAAGGTACAGGTCAAAGTTCATTGTAAGTTCAGTAAATGTTTGCATTATGCGAACAGTGCTTCTTTGCATGGGCCCCTGTCTCGTGAGGGCCAAACACATCCATGACATGGCTGTCCTGTCACTAGAGAGGTTCTTGCCCTGCAAAGCACAACAGCCCTAAGGCTAGCAACACTGGGAAAGGGCAGCCCAAGGAACAATGGGCTTGTAGCTGAGCTATGCACAAGTGAGGAAAGGAAGCTGTTTATCATCTCTAGGCCATAATGGAGAGCCACTTCCTATTAATTAGAAAAACACAGAAACTGGAAAAAAAAAAAAAAAAGAAGAAAAAAAAAGGAAAACAAAAAACTTACGTAATATGATCTCAGAGCTGGCTGATTTGCTAATGTAAAACACAGGGTGGAAAAAAAAGGCTGATAATGTGGAACAGTAGGGCATGACTGCTGATCTCATAGAAAAAACACGCGGAAAATACTATTCAAAACACTGGCAAAATGACTTCATGTGAAAGGCGGATTTCTTCTTTTACAGTGGGCAGAATGTTCCAAAGGAACCTGTGTGCATCTGCCTGTGTGCTCTTTCCATTAGCAGCCGTGCAGATGGCTTGAACATCTCAGGGCCAAATAGGCACTCTTTGGTTCAGATAGCGTTGAGTGTCTTCATCCTAGATTATGAACATGTCAGATTGCAAACCTGTTAGACTGCATCCAAGACATTTTTCCTCTTGAGCCCTGGCTGTAGGGCTAAGAGCATTTGCTGTTGTTTGGAGGCCTTGTGGGGCAAAATAAAGTTCCTGGTATGATATAGTCACTCATATCTAGCTCTCTACACCCTAATAGTAACAGAAGCTCAATTAAAAGCCAGTCCCTGCTTTTCTTTAAAGCTGGAGTTTGCAGCATACGAAAATGATCCGGAGATATTCTCTACCACTTTCATTTTGTAACCATGTATGTTTTATTATTTTCGTAGTAGTTATGAAAGACTGAATAAATAGGTTTTAATTCAAGTAGATTTTTAAAAACACCTGTAATACTTAAAAAAAAAAAAAAAAGACAATATACAAGATAAAACTCCCATTTTCTTTCATCTACAGCAAAAAAAAAAAAAAAAAAAAAAAAAAGTGTTAACAGTAATTGCTTTAGGAAGAGAGTATGTTGCACTAAAATAGGACATGCCCAGTATTTTGCATGGAAGTATAAGGTGGAGTTCAAAATCTTTAGTAGCTCCTAAAAGTTAGGAGGAATTTCTCTGTGTGATTATGAATTCTGGCTATCACTATTAGACACTCAAATACCATGCTCTTTTGCTCTTATTAGCAGGAAAATGTGCTTGACAGGGGAAGATCAGAGGCTCAAGAAACAAAAGTATTGGCCTCTGTCATGCTGTTTTTCCAGCCATTACAAAATCTATAATAACCCTAGGCACTGAATGAGATCCCCCACATGCTGAGAAATGAGTAGGTAATGAAAGAGACTTCAGGCATCCCTTGGGGGTGAACATGGCCTTCTCCTGAACAGGCACCACTCCACTGCTTGACCAGTTAAATGTGCCACATCAGCATTAATGGTGTCACCACAGTCTCTCCTTCCTTCCTAGTAAACTTGTATTTACCATCTCTGCATTTTTGGAAAAAGCAGAGCAAAGATGAAACTGAAGCTTTAACACTTGCCCGCTACATAAAAGGTGTGAAGGGCATTTACTCTGGTCATTAGGTGCTTGTTTGAGTGTCTTGTATTGTTTTGTCTTTACTTGGCAGCTACTCTGACACCTGGTGTTACCACGCAGACACCTTGTAATTCTGAGACAAGAACAGTGGCTAAATTAACGATTTTATCACTCATAAGTGATGCAGGCACTATCTTGCCTTGGTAGTGTTATCATCTGGCTTAAACTAGTACGTTGCATATAAAAGCAACCAGGAGCACCCAGCTTTAGGCGATGGTATTTTTATTAGGTCAGGCACGGAGCTGACTCAGATGTAGCTTACATTGGCTTTTGGTTCTCTTTAAAGAGCTGTGCAGATGCCATAGCAACTGACCCTGGCTGAGAGAGGCAGGCCGGGCATTGCTAAATGAGACTTTGAGCTTTTTTAGCGCAGTTCACTGAAGAATAGTCTGACCTCCATATATATTGCAGTCAATCAGGCTAAGCATTTTTTTTTCATTAAGAAAATATTATTGTAAAACTTCTGGCCAGACAAAAATCAGTCTTGGCATTTGAAAAGGCTCTCAAGATTGTTAATATTTGACTAGTCCCTATTGCTTCATCACATCAAGCTTAAGAATAGCATAAAGGGATACACAATATATCAGAAGATTGTCCTTTTGTTTTATTCAAATAGGAAAAATGCAGTGCATAATAAAACTTTATTCTGAGTCATTATGTTTACCAAGATTAGAACTATAAAGTTCAGTAGTCTACAACAAGCAAGATAAGGAAAGCCAAAGATGGTATGTAGGCATTTCTTAATGCTACATGGCCTAGAGTTGGGAGCAGTATTAGAGCAGAGGTACCTGGAAAAGTCAACACCTCCTTGCTTCTGTTTATATGGAGCAGAAATCACTGTCTCATAAAGAATTTAGATGACACCGTCAGTAACATTTACTCTCTTGGAGAGCAACGTGTCATGGATTCTGGTGCATTTTTACTGGACATATTAGCCTCTCTTTAGGGGAATAAAAATACACCAGTGCAACATTTTCAGATAGGTTGCAGCTTCCTGACACAAGAGCACTGAGCAAAATACCATACTGCCTGGATAAGGAAGTTTTTGTAATAGGAATTACACCCCACATTTTCCCCTAAAAAGTTTTCCCCTCTCTCCTTCTTTCATTATTAAAACAATTCCAAGCTGAAAATATGTCATGTACATTAATAAAGGGTTGAAATCTTAATCCCAGTTTTACGAGCTCTATGAAACCAATGTGCACTGTGCAATATGGGAATTAGTCCCAGGTGACTGCCAGGCAAGCCTGATGTCTCTAGTTATCAAGTGCTACTCTCCTGCAACTACATGTATGATTCATACATCTGTGTGTTTTCCAATGTGTGCAGTGTACAGTTTAATGAAATAAAGACAAGTGAAATGTGCACACTTAATCAGTTTAAATGATAATACATCCTAACCCTCATCACCAAGAAAGGCTCTTAGCTGTTCAGGCTCATTCTGGTGAATCATAGCTTTCAAAGAAAAAAATGAACCATAAAAAATAATAGAAATCAAAATTAAATTATAGGCAAGTGGCAATCTTTCTGTATAATTACAACACTGCAATTGTCTTTACTTCAGAGAGAGAACTCTGGGGACAATTTTAGCTGCTAGTTTGGGTGAGTGGAATGAAAAACAAAAAACTTTTTTTTTTTTGTCTATTTCTTTCGTATGTGGTTTATTCCTATATCCTGAAGGCTGCCAGGCTTATGTTCTTTTAATTCCATTGTCTGGGAACATCCTAGCTGTGGTGTGGAAAGAAATTGGGGTGTTTCTGAAATCTCATGGAAGAATTAGGGAAAGTTTTAACATAGCATGCTCTGTATCACTGTAGAAACTAATAATTTCTCATTTTTAAGGTAGCACGTTTGGAAAGTTCTTGAAACGAGTTCTATAGAACGAAATGTATATTTTTTATGTGTTTTGAAGTTGGTGGATTGTACTTGTACATCCAAATTAGATTTACCCTCTCCGTTTTTCACTCTTCATATCACCTCCCTTCCAGGACATGTTTCTCTAGTGACTGTTTTTACCTGTTGCTTCTAGATTGTCTGTTTGTTCTAGATATTCTGAGCAAACCTTCCTCCTTCCTTCCCTCCCTTCCTCTTCCCTTCCCTTCCTTCTCCCCCCGCCTTCCCTCCCCCCAAAAAAACAACAAAACAAAAAAAAACCACCTCCCTCAGTGAGAAATACACAGTGTGCAGGTACATGCCAGCCTGTCAAACGGCTCTTCTCTGGCATATAGACTTCCTGGGAAGTTCCAGTCATTGTTCCTCTTGCAAATTTTTGCATAGTATAAACTTCTGATAACTAAGTTACAGAAAGATAAGTTACTGTGCCACGTCAGTGTTTTTCCCTTGATAAACCACATTTACCACCAGGATACTGAAAAAATAGAGTCAAGATATCATAAATACTTGAGTCTTTTTTCATGGGAGGCTTGACAGAATGAAATGCATTCAGGGTCTCATCCCACTTCTAACACTAAATCCTAATTTCCCAGTGTGTGATTTGTGTGATTTTCACTTCCTAGTCCCTGATAATCCCATTTGTGGTTTTTAGTTTGTTTGTTTCTTTGTTCTTGTTATATATATATATATATATATATATATATACAACATGAAAATTGACAATAGTTCCAATGAAAACACAACCCAGTCAGGAGTTTGAGGTACAAGTCTGAAAGGTTAGACAACAGTACCACCAGCTCAGATTGCGGTACCTTTTTTCAGCATTTTAGATCCTAACTCTACACAGAGCCTATAGAGTAACTGCATAAAAGCGTAGCACTATTTCAGGCATATAGGGTTTTGAAAATCATGGCAACAGCCTAGTTCTCTACACAATAATATATTGAGAAACCCCTATGAATTCAGTATAATTCATCCAAGAATTTGGCTTCTCACAGCTCCACTCTGCTGAATTTAAATGCCAAATTGTGAAACAAGTTATAGAAAATGTGATTTTTTTTTTCAGAGAAAATGAATCCAGTGTAACTGTAGAACGTGTGTTATCAGTCTGGACTGTATTATCCTGGGATTTTCTTGTATGTGCAAATATTACTGGAAAAAGTCAAAAGAAGTGACCCTTGAGAGCCCTTTCTTATGGGAAATGAAATCAGGCAACATAATTTTTTTAAAAGGGTTGAATTGTGCTTGTATGAGGTGGGAAAACAATTGTCAGAAAATCATTTCTTTTGCCAAATTTTGTATCTCTTCCTCAATATCCTTGTTTAGGAAAGCTGTAAAATCTGTGGGCTGTTGTTACCAGCAGTAGTTTTGCCTAATTTCCTGTCAGAGTCCATCCAGCCTAGCTTCCTGCCTTGAGACACAGCCAACAATTTGAGATTGACGTTCTGACAGTGAATCTTGCTGTGCACTTAGCCAGGTATATACTGTTGTTCTTGTACTTGCACGTGAGACAGGATTCTCTCTTGATCTCTCCAACCATCAGTTTATGGCCTGCAGACTATGAGGAGAAAGCAACATTTTTAGATTACAGTCTGATCACAAGAGGCATTATCACAAGACAGTAGAAAACACGTACTTGCATGTAGAGACAATATTCAAGCTTCCTTCTAGGTTTCTATTTTTTTTTTATTATTATTATTTATTTTTTTTAGATTTGGCAGGACTTCTGGTGTCTTCCTACAGCATCATGGGGAACTGGGATGCCCCTTCCTCTATTCCCCATCATACTGCAGACCACTGGGCTTATTTGGCAGCTCAGCAGCAACTCACCATCACTATTTCCCCACTGTGCCAAGTGGCCAACAGTCAGTCCACCCTGCCTGAGAAATGACTGAACTACATTTTGGGGCATGGTTGATAACACTTTGCAAAAGAACACAGAACTGCCAAGGGCAACTTTTATAAAGAAGCCATAATCACCTCTCTGTAGTACTTTTCCAGGCTGTTTCTTACCTCAAAGCCTAGCTTACTTTTCCCTCTCCTTGATTTCCACTTTCTCAGGTACTCAGGTAGCTACCCTGAAGTCTGTTGTTCAATATTTTTTTCCCCCGATATACAGGTTTTTGTCCTTGCACATAACACAGGGCCAGAAATCAGTTTCCACTGAAAGGAAAAGACTCTCCCCTCAACGCCCTTGTAACCATTTCCCTAAATGAGGTTTAAAAGCACAAAAGAAATAGAAGGAACCAGCTTTAAAAATCTCAGAAGGATGAAGCATGCAAATTTGCTGGGAAAAAGCATCCTAGATATTACAGTTCCAAATACAGTGACTAAGAATCAACAATAATCTTTTATCCACTCTAACACTACAGTTTGGCAATACCGTTCAGCAGGAACTTCTATGTCATTGATGGCTGAGTCAAAATATTTTCTGTGACAGGTCACAAAAATGGTTTTGCAGCATTTCCACACAGCTGGAGAAATAATCGTACGAGCAAAAGGGCAGCAGCTGTGAGATTTCAAAGTCTTGCCACAAAAGGAATTCTGGAAATGTAACAAACATTTTTAAGTCCTCATCATCTGTCCAATTCCCCCATTTCTCTTTCTTTCTTGCCTACATTGTCTCAAGCACTAAGAAAATACTGATACAGTATGGTTCTGGAATCCAGTTTAAATTATCTGACATTTGGAAAAAAATCTAACCATAAATAAAAGTAGAGTTCTTTGTCTTCTTCAGTTGTATGTCTCAGCTTTAAGTACATGTATTAAGTTTTTCTTTTGGAAGCCATAAAGTTGGGGTGTCTATTTAAATCCAGCAATTCTAGCATGTGCTACGAAATGAAGACAGGTCTGAAACCTTCCAGTCTGGAAGCACACAGCTCCCATGGTCTAACTTTCAGCCCACCAAACACAAAGCGAGTACTGCCTAAGTACACTGTGGAACAAGCAGCTTCTTGAGCAGCAAACACAGCATGTCCTGTGACTGCAAGTTTGAACAATATGGGTGAACTACAGGAAGAGAAAATGAGGGAGTAGGCAGGCAATCAGCATAGTAATTTCAGGGGCATTTTTTCTTTTCAGAGATTTGCTCTGTATCTTTGGGAATAGTTTGAGAAACAGAATGGTTCAAGCAAATCTGCAGTCTACAGCATTTTTCCTCACACAAAAGGGACTCTGTTTTCAGTTTGAAGATCCTCAGTTAAAGCAAAAGAAGGATTTACTTAAGCACTCTTGAATGTTATTAAATGCATTTCACATACATCTTTTCAGCAATAGTATAATACAGAGGAAGACTGACCAGCATGTATCTTGTTGTTCTTAAGCCTAGCTTTTACTTCTTTGTTCAGCTTTGCACTATGGGTGCTCAACTTATCATTTCCTGCAGGTACAATGTCTGTGGCCACCTGTAACAACAAACTCCTCTTGACTTCCATGGCAGCAAGGATGTGTGCTAAGCAGAGTCAACAGCAAACACTGAGCAGATGGCAGTTTCAGATTTACAATTTGAAAATCCACTGGTTTCGTCAATATCATACAAACAGCTAAACTCATCTAGTAGTGATTTTGTCATACCCAAGTGTGGGGCTTCAACAATGAGGGGATATATTTCTGGAAGGACTTAGCAGCCCAGTGCAGAGACAGATGCTTGGAGGCACTCAAGGTTTCTTTGGGCCACTCAAGTTACAGACTTTTAAAGATTCCCTTTGCTTTCATGGATGCTGAAATGGATTTTGCTTTATTCAGTTCTGAAAGATTCCTTTTGGATCTTGCATGGGTGCTGAGGCTTTTGAAAATCTGGTCTTTCATTTGAGATGTTCAGCCCTTCTAAAAGACCAGCTTGTATTTCGGTGCTTTGCATTCATATTTATACAGAATAGAAGTGTGGAAAAAAATTCTCAGCCAGCACAGCCAGTTAAAAACCTACCAACGGTACAGGCTAGATATAGATATGCCAAAGAAAGGGGCATCTTTGTCTGATGTGTTTTGTGCCATGAGGAGTCATACAGAAGGTCTCCACTAGGAGGCTCTACCAGTCTCCATTTGCCCAACTTTTCTGGTTCAGGTCAGCCTTACAGATGAGCTCCAAGGCAAGAGAAGGGAGTTGGCTCTTTTTGCTAAGTGCTCAGAGTACATGGCAAGGCTATAGATTTTTCTAGGGCATTAATGAAATACCTAGAAGGGAATTCTGCCTTAATACTACCACACTGTTACTGCAAAGTGCGTCCACCTAAACTTACTTTATCTTGTTTTCCTGTAGGCCCACTGTTGAGTTATGCAACCACCATCACCTCTACCATGTCAAAATACCTCCTAGTAACTACCTAGATGAAAAGCACTCAGGTAAGGTTGAATCCAGGCAAGACCAAAATGTGTCTAGGTGAAATGGGAAACACTTTGAAGAGCTGGCCAAAACATTTTTGCCACCTTACTCAAAGATATACAGTCCTTATTCATCAAAGTTATGTCTGACTCCTCACTAAATAGACTTGTATGATCAATTTGCATTAATTTCTAGAAATGCTTTTGCTTACTTTCAGCTCACTAGGAAACTCTGTCCATCTCACCCCAGTGATTCATACATTTGTCACCTCCAGCATGAACCCCTGTAACTGAAGTGGAATCTGAAACCTGTGAATGGATACAGAAGGTGACTGCTGACTTTTTCCATGGTGAAATGTGCTGTTAGCAGAGTATGTCTGAATTCAGGTACCTCAGAAAGCCTCCACTTTCTCTCAGTACCTGTTTACAGCCCTAGCCACCATTTTCAAAGCAAGTAAAGAAATTTCAGAGACAGCTGCATACCTCTGATGTGCCTTAGATCACAGGTTTAAAAAAAAAAAAAACGTGAGAACTATTCACAATGTGAATCTGATATCTGATTTTGCTTTGCACTGTCTGCACCTCTTGCCAAGGTAATCCTGCTGTGGAATGCTTTGCTGGAACCTGATCATGTTCCTGAAATATTGCAGTTTTCCCTGTGTGATTGGGCTGAGAGGATTTTTTTTTTTTTACCATATGTGACACAATTCAACAGCTGTTTTTATTCATGAATCCTTTCCTCCTTTCTTCCCCCTTCCTCAAAATAAAAAACATTTCATGAATGTTGATTACACAGGGCATGTGTAAAGAATCCCATCTAGGCAACTAAAGACTTTACTACTGTTTTTCTATGTCCCATCGAAGGGGCTCAGATAGTGCCTTGTTCTGGTTATGATTTAAGCCTTGGTAGCTCATTTTTTCACCTTCAGACTCTTTCCAGCTTCTGTTACTTTTATCTCTGGGAGGTCACATAGTTTTTTAAGTACTCTGAGTTTTGAAGCAATTTGAATTCTGAAGTTCATAAGTGAGAACTCCTGAGGACAAAATTAATTCAAGTGTTTTATTACCTTGGCTATCTGTGGAATACAATTTGTTTTAAATACTGAGATACTCTCTGCCCAAACTGTGTTTGGGGTTGTAGAGATATTGTGTTTCTGATGTGATAACAAAAATGCTGGAAATAGTCAAGGAAAGGCAACTGTCTCATTTAGAATGAAAACACAGGAAGGTGGAAGGCAATATTTACAACTTGCTTCTAAATGAGTGAAATAGTTTAATATTTAAGGTTATTTTTTTATACATTTTTAAGGTTATTTAAGGTTATTTTGACAGGTGAATAAATCCAGGGGAGTACAGGTCAAACCACTGTAGAGAAGATGGCTTTATATGATAGTAAAGAATGTGAATAAAAGCAAATTAAACTGAAAGGAATACTCCATCAGAATGTACATTGTTCTTTCAAAGAGTAGGGCAGTAATGGTTGACACAGAAGGCTTAGATGGAAATGAGGGTACACAGTGCAGTGTTACTGCACTGAGACAAAGACTTCAAAATGCATGCAAGAATGTCTACATTGCATAGCAAAAATGCCTTTGGTCTTCAAAGCATAAATCACTGTTGAGTTAGTATTCCCATCACAAGCAAGATTCATGGGTAAACTGGCTCGCCTCCACCCTTTTTCATTGTAGAATATCTTGTACACCCACAAGGCCTGCGGCCAGATGTTTTACCTAGCTGTATAGAACTGTTTCAGATATTGGAGGTGTACTTGAGTCTAAGCTGTGAAGCACCAAGTTGGTAAACAGGAGCTGCTTTGAATTAAAAATAGCAATTGACCTGACTGGAATTCCTATGACAGAAAGCCAACTGTAAATTAGTGGCCAACAGACTTCTATGGAGAAGAGAAAGCTGCCTGGCAGAGAAGGACCTGGGAGTATTGGTTGATAGTCAACTGAATATGAGCCAGCAGTGTGCTCAGGTGGCCAAGAAGGCCAACAGCATCCTGGCTTGCATAAGAAACAGTGTGGTCAGCAGGGCTAGGGAAGTGATTGTCCCCCTGTACTCAGCTGTAGTGAGGCCGCACCTCGAGTATTGTGTTCAGTTTTGGGCCCCTCGCTACAAGAAGGACATTGAGGTGCTTGAGTGAGTCCAGAGAAGGGCAACAAAGCTGGTAAGGGGTCTGGAGACCAAGTCCTATGAGGAGCGGCTGAGGGAGCTGGGATTGTTCAGCTTGGAAAAGAGATGTCTCAGGGGTGACCTTATCGCATTCTATAGATACCTTAATGGAGGCTGTAGCGAGGTGGGGGATGGTCTATTCTCCCACATGCATGGTGACAGGATGAGGGGGAATGGGCTAAAGTTGCGCCAGGGGTGTTTTAGGTTGGATATTAAGAAGAACTTCTTTACTGAAAGGGTTGTGAGGCACTGGAATGGACTGCCCAGGGAAGTGGTTGAGTCACCATCCCTGAAAGTCTTTTGCAGATGTTTAGATGTAGAGCTTAGTGATATGGTTTAGCGGAGGACTTGTTAGTATTAGGTCAGAGGTTGGACTCAGTGGTCTTGGAGGTCTCTTCCAACCTAGATGATTCTGTGATTCTATGAAAAGCTCTGTCACACAAGTCATGGTTTGTTCATGTACCAAGAGAGCAGTTGTATGTCTGTAAAGTTCTCCTCCAGTTTCCCGTTACACCACTATTCTGTCTGCATTCACTTCTGGCTAAGAGACATATATTAGCAAAATAAAGCCTTGTTATAGTTTGAGACAACTTCACAGCCTAAACTCAACATCTGACACATGTAATTAGTTCACAAAGTAGACTGAGTAAAGTCTTGCAGAAAATATGAGTATTTATGTATGACTGCCCATGTTTTTGGAATAGAGCCTGTCTTTGGTGCTATGTATTTTCTGACTTATACAATCAGATGAGCATTGCCAGCTGCATATCTACGTTATTAGAGTAGATACCGTAATGATTTCGATGTATGGTTTGGTCTACTTCCTGTATGTCACAATAGCAAGGAAAAGAGAAATAATTGTTCAAAACTGCCATTGTTCTAGATTAGTTGACTAAGTAGTCAGGCACATCCAGGACAGGCATTACTTGGGATAACCTTTTTCCTAGTCACAGGGATTATTGCTAGGGAGAATGGGCAGCCCAGAGAGTTTCAACAAGGTATTTGGTGTGAGTTGAACTAATAAGATTCACAGAAATACCTCAGCTTAAATTTCTACATATCTATCAGACTGAAGCACTGTTGCAGAGCAGACCCCATGAGGTTGAAGCCACATGTCTTCCTTTCTGCCATATATAGAGGAATTTGCACAAGAAATCTAAATTTGTAGAGGTAAAAAGAGCCTGGGAAGTTCAGAGGGTAGGAAAGAATAAATCAAATCAAGAAAGCTAAAGAACCTTAAGAACCTCTTAGAAGCCATGGATTAGAGAACTGCTCTGCCCTGACCCCTCAGACAGAAGCACCAGAGCTGGACAGACAGATACAGCTGTTGTCTACACTGTTGCTATAATTCTCATACTCTTTCAGAGATCGCTGGAGATTATGGCCATAAAGGGCTATTACATGATTTAGTCTGACCCAAGGGTTTTGTTTTGGTTTTGTTTCTATTTTTTAATTCTGACTCCAATAACTTGTGTTTAGTTGCAACATATCTTAATTTGAAGATGTCAAGAAATGTGCAATCCTCTACTGACTGAAACAGTTTGTCCAATTGTCTGTCAGCCTCACAACTTTTAAAAGAAAGTATCTAATTTCATAGGCATCTGGTTTAAGCTTCTGGTCAATGGTTATGAGTGATTTTGCCTGGTATTTTCTCGGTAAATAATGGAGACTTCTCAGTATTCTTCTATGTGTCTCTCTACTACTTGTGAAGGTGACGTTCCTCTAAGCTATTTAGTTGTATCCATGGAGACATTGCATTGGTTTCATTCTATTAATTCATATAAATTTTGCCTTTTGCTTAACATAGAAGATACACATACACACGCACAGTCACCATCCTTCTGTAGAGACCTTGGACTTTTGCTATGAGCATGGACTTTTTGGTTTGTCTCTCACCATTCATCTGGCCTTGTATCACCCTTTAGGATTTGTATTTTCATCATACTTTCATTTGCTTATGTATAGAAGCTAGCACAAATGTCCTGATCTCATCTGTGTGTCTTTGCAACAGTAAAAACTAATAATTGACAAGAAAGCCCTAATGATAAGAAAATGCCACTCGTCTTCAGTCCCTGCTGGTGGGAATATATGACCATTCCAGTGCTTTGTAAACTCTCCAAATCCAACCACTGGCCATACTTTCTCATTTACATATGATCACTTTTATTGGATATGGAAAACATCAACAAGAAAAGTAAGTTAAGAAAACAAACTAACGTGGCAAGTTGTTTACAGTTACCTATGTCATTCTTTCTATCTCCAGCTGTTCTAACTGATTAATCTTTTGAACTCTGCCACAAAATCTGCTGTGCTCCTTGTAGCAAGATAGTAATAACTATCACTATAGTTACTACCAGTACTTCTAAAACCAAAAAACTTAATGAAAAAGTAAAATGCAGATTTTCTTTCATGAGAAAGTTGAGTTATTTTGATTTTTTTTCATTCAAATCTGGAGAAAATTCTTCAGAGCACTCTGAAATTAAGCTTTAAGGTTTTTTTTTTCTGTTTATTTATCAATTCCATATTTTAGGGGAAAAATCTGGTGTGCAGAGGGAAGAGAAATGGCAGTAAAAAAAATAAAAAATCTTGAGAATGAGGAAAGGTGCATAGGGAATTAAATATTGTTACCTTTTAAAACATACAAAATATATATTTCTTTAAATTTCCTAAAGAAGTCTTCACCAAACCTCAGTCCTTTCTAATCTCATGGATGAGGGACCTTCCCCAGGAAATGTGGGACTAAACTGGTTGTTTCAATAGCTCCTGTTAGGGAAATCACAAAAAATGTTTCTTCTGCAACTTCCTCAGATCAGGGAAAACTACTGTATTTGCTACTTCCTTGTTTTCTTTTCTTTGTGGAACAGTAAGAGAGAGGAGTCATTTCTCAGGGTGGTCACAGCCAAATGAATACATGGATCCAATGGCCACAGCTCACACTGAAGGAAAACAACACTCCTGATCAGCTGATCAATATGAATTGTTTACTCTCCTGGCTTGAGAATTCTTCCTGTCCAGTAAGACTTCCAGTAATTTAGGATCATTGACATTAGAAATTGTAAAATCACCCAGAGGAAATAACAGTAAAATAATTATAGTCCCTGGGAAAAGGTTTAGTATTTGCTTTGGTATTAAGAGCCATGCCTTGTTTGTTGAGCCAAAGGAACGCTAATGGCTGCACCCTTACCAGAAAGGTTCACACTGAATCCTGACTGACCAAGGTTAAGTGAATTTGCAGATCTCTTTTTTAAAATGCTGATTGAAGCTTACAATTCCAAAACCTCTGAGAAACACAAGTGGTGTTGTTTTTTTCAAGCAAAGAGGTTGAACACCTTTGAATTTGCCCATATCTTATTCTTTCAAGCAGCTCAGACCCAGTCACTGGTGGAATTAACTGTACTAACCAAGTTACTAAAGGGCTTGAGCTTGAACACTAACCTTCTTACAAATACCAGTCCATTCTAAACAATGCATTTTTGCAGTGTTCTATCTGAACAAGTCATATGCATACAGCACATGTGATACCCTTGTCCTCCAAAGGAAGACCAGCTGGCACTGTTGCAAAAACTTGCTAACTCTGCTCAGCTGCATGTGTAAACTGGTAGTTCTTGCAGAACTGCTTATTGTCACTGGCGAGCCATTTCTTTCTAGTTCTCACCAGTAAAAATTGCTTTCCTGGCTTTAATCTCTCTGTGAAACCGTTGTAGGTAAGTCTGCTGCCACAGCAATCAAACAAAATATTGTACAGTGCCAAGACATTATGCTACGAGTGAATTCTCAGCACATAATTCTCCAAGAACATCTTTCCACCCAGTTAAAAAAGGGGTGGGACTTTTACTCTCATTTCCCTTGGTGGTTTCTCCAGCAATTCTCTCCCTAATTAAAGCAATCCCAGTGCAGATTATTTTGCCTGAATTTACTTGACTGAGAGAAATGATACATACCAAGAGTTTTAAAGCACATTCAGAATGTACCGAACAGGAAAGAAAAGAAATATGAAGTAAAATGCACGACAAGGTGTGGTTTGTGAAAGGGAAAATGAGCTAAATACCAGTTTGTTTCCAAATATCCAGCAGCAATAAGAACTTTAAAATCTTTTTTTTTTTCTTTATCCTTTTATTTTTAAGGTAGTGTAAGATCTTTCTATGAACAGTATGCATACTTATACCGAAGTATTTCCATCAGCTTGAACAATCTATTTGCAGTGGAAGATGTAAAGACACTAACTCTCCTAGAAAGGGTAATGTTTGAAGGACAAACTTCCCTGACTGGCAGGTCTCGCCTCTCCCTGTCTCCTGTGAGGCTGGGGTTGTTCTGCAGAGGTTGCCCACAGGGCTCATCTGATGACTCTGGAAGGGGTGCACAGCTGCTGTTTCTCTAAGGGGAGCAATTCAACATCATGCTTTCTTACAGAATTCAATTTTTCACTTAATTAAGGATTACTTCAGCTAGGCAGTGAATACACTAGTCCCTTGAATGACAAGGAGAGTCCTCGTACAGTGATAAATATTTACATCACTTGTGCATATGCTGTAATGAATCCATTTGCTGGACAAAAGCCTGGTGCATTTTACTATGTCACAGTGCTGGGGAATTTCTGGTTATAGAAAAGCTGATATGTGGAAAGAGTTAAAAAATATGACCTTTATTACAAAGGATTTCACTTTATCCAGGTAAATTTCTGCTTGCTTCCCATTTGCTGGAAATTATCCCATGTAAGTAATGAGCCCCAAAGTGCTGATGTATTGTGAGGCTGCCCCTTTCATAGATGTGGAAGTATTCAAAGTGTTTTATTTCCCAGAGACACAGCCACTTGGTAGCTTGTTCCTTGGCAAAAAGTGTGTGTGTAATGAAATCTTAAATGTCTTGCCTATACTCACATGGTAAGAGCAGCAGCAGAGCTGAGAAGTGACCGAAAATAACCACATGAACTTCTTCCTCTTTCCTTCCTTACACAGACCAGCCTACATGTGTTGTAGCTTGATGTGACAGGTGCTGCTGCAGATGCAAGTTTTAGCTAGGCCTCTTTTCTGATCTCAGAAGTTCGGTAGAATCTTTTTGCTTTTCTAGGCACTTATAAAACCAACTGTCTTTATTAGGTCTCTGAAACGAAACTCAGATATGTGAAGACTTACTGCATCCAACACCATGAAATGTCACACGGACTCTGAAGAGAAACCACTGGTGCATTTTAGAGGGTGGCAGCTGTCAGGGAGCACTGTACAACACTGTGGAGGAGTGCTAGGTTAGTAATGACAGGTAACTGTGACTGCTTAACAGTGACCACAGCCACCTCCTGCTGCTGATAGTGTTTCTTTCTACATGGCTGGAGAAACAGCTGTTTATACAAATAGTCTTTATCACACTTTTACCAGGAAGTGGCTTAGCATGTTTCTGAAACTGAGCATGTTCAAGTTGAGCTCATTTCATTTCAAGCCAAATGCTGTTTCTGTGCTGCTCAGTGAGCACAATCCATTCAATTTAATGTTGTTACAAACAAACAAAAAAAGATAACAAATACCATACGCTTAGAAAGGCTCTCTTTCCTAGAGCAAGATGTTTTCCAAAACCCTTTCCAAAACAGAACTAAGAGCAAAAAACTATTCTAAAACTTCCATGAGAGCCTGGGGAGTGCTATACTATATACATTACTGCCCTATCCTTCAGACCACTGATGTCCAAAGCCATTCCACACAACAGCAGCTTGGAACTTGGCTTTACAAAACAACAGAAACATAAAAATTGTTGCCTTGGAATGGCTCAGCTTGTTTCCCTATCTCAGTATTAAGTCTTTTGGAGGAAGAAACCCACCACCCCAGAAACAACTATTAGAATGCATGAGGTCAAAACAAACCAGGACTTTTTTTTTCCTTTTTTTTTTTAAATGTTTGTTGAGTTGATACTAAGCAGAAAAGGCCATGCATCTGATGAAATAAAATATGTTTAGAAAATTAAAATTTCTAGAGGTTTAGGGTGTCAGATTGGCAACTAAAAGTTAGGCATGTAAAAAATGCCTGAAAATTCCAGTTGACATTGATCTTACCTATATTTTACCTAAATGCCTCTTTTGACTGTGTGCCAAGAAAGCAAGACTCTACTGACTTCAATGGGACAAAGATCTAGCCATAAATTTTGTACATGTAAGAATTTTCAAAAATATCTAGGAATGGAGCTAAAACAGAACTATGGCCCCAGACCCCAAAGCTTTGAGGAAGTTTTGGTTGGAAGACAAGCTTTGCAGCTGGGCTTTGATCTGGATGAAGCAAACCCAAACCAAGGATGAGATCTCCTGTGAATGCTGACAAAAATTGTGTTTGGATCCAGATTCAGACTTTACAACTTGGGGCCCAACTCCTAAAATGGTATAGATGAAGGCCAGGAAAGGCTGCCTGCTGTACAAGCAGACAGAAAGCCCCCCACCAGCTGCATACTCTGAGCAGCCTCGCTGTCTGTGTACAATAGCATCAGCACGGCAGGGGTAAGCCCACAAGGAAGTCTCTGTGGTAAACTGGCTTGCAAAAGCTGAAAGCGATGTGCATCCTATGTAGCACAATAGCACAAGGTTGTTCTGTGGCTGCTGCAAAACAACCTCAAATTCCTGTCTAGGGCTGCAAATGCAGCTTCTGCAAAATATGTGTTACAGCTTTGAAAGCAAAATTCACACCGATTCCTGCTTGTCGCATATGGGCTTACACACACTATCAGCACCTACCAGTTCTCAGTTGTCACCACTTCTTTCACACCTGGAAGCTCGTTGCAGCCTATGATTGGCACCAACAGAGTTACAAGTAGCAGGTGGTGATGTTAGCATGCCTCAGATGAATCACATTTGATACTGCAGATATTTTCTTAGTAGTCATAACATGAACACTGCAAAGAGAATCTTTCCTCCTGAAAGACCATGTAGAAGAAAAGATAGAGTTATGAAGTACATCTAGTACATGCAGGTAGTAATTCTTCTGTCACACATGAGAAAAGGTGTCCACAGAGTAGTGCTATCCCCCATCTTGTCCCTTCATGTGCCACATGCAAAAGTCAACCGCAGAAATAAGACTAGAAATATACCCTTGTCTAAAAATCTGCTCAATGCTACAAGCAAAGGGACTATGCTTTTTTAAGTAACACCACTCACTCATGAGAAAAGAAACTTACTTGTTCCCATGGCTCTCTCTCCACTGTGCATTCTGGCTGAGAATATTTGAGCACTTCCCTGGGATTGGTGTGTCTCTTAGACTATGACAATCATTGGGTTTCCTTTGATTCTTGGGAAGCTCGTATGGTTCCCTGGAGAGAGCTGTGGTCTGTCTGTGTGAGTGGTGCAACGGTGATAACTTTTAGATTGGAGAGGCCTATTCCAAGGCTAAAATATAATAAAATAAAACAAAATAAAATAAAATTTGTTTAATCCCTCTAGTGGTTACACCCAACCATTGTATCCAGTTATGAGTCACACATACTGCTAGTTGGCTCTAATTCAGTGAGGTGAAGGTCTGCTCACCTACCTAGAACAGACAAAATGTTACCTTGCTCTCTTCACCACCTCCATGAGCCACCTGCCTTTGGTTGCGAATGAAGCCCCTAAAAAGGTATGGCATCTTTTGCCATGAGCTGGGTAGCAGGTATGCAAAAGGGCCAAGAAGGCAACAGATCTTGTCTCTGCTCTCCAGCTGTGTCATGCAACATGACTAAAGCTGGCAGCATTTCTCAAGGCACGTGGAGGGAATTTTGTGACTTCTAGGGAATGGTTTGTGTGACTGAAGGCTTCTGAAGCCTGTGTACTAAGTGATTGGGCTGACAGCCATATCTGGCTTAGTATGGAGAAGGGAGGGAACAATACTTGAGCTGTGTAAATTCGTTCTTTGTCAGATTCTTATTGTTCTCTCTACCACCCAAGAGTAGGAACAACATCAAAACTAATCAATAAACAGCAGCTAGATATCCAAGTACTTAAGAGTACAAGTCAACACTTACTCCGTGTTTTTGTGTGAAGAAAAGCACTGATGAAAAGCCTTCTGTCAGTGATTATAGGACTGGCACCAGAAGGCTTTAATCACAGTATTAACAGCAATTCAGGATTAAAAATAATGTTTACTTTTTAATTTCTCTTGCCCACTGCAACTAAATAGAAAAGAAATTAAACAACAACCTAACAGGTGTTTTAGATTGCTTTTTTTTTCTAATTTTTATTGCTGTTTTTGCTTGTTTGTTTGTTCTGTTATTAAGAAACTGTGAGAGAAATACCATGTAAAAGCTTCTGCAAGAGCCTTGGAGGATGAGCCACGTGGGATGAGCAGGGACACGTACCCCAGCATTCCTTCAAGGGGCACGGCAACCCAAAGCAAGTATGTCAAAGTCCTTCCAGCTGGGGCTGCTGCCCAGCAAGACGGGCAGAGGGCTGAGCAAGCAGTGGCAGCTGGCAGGAAATCAGAGAAGCCAGAAATAGCAGTGGGGAGGCTGAGAGAGAGGACCCAGGCAGTGGAAGGAGCAGGTGAGAGACCACACTGATAGCAAGTGGGAAGGCAGGACAGAAAGGAGGTGCTCTGAGACTGAAACATCGTGCTGCAGCTCTGGGTTATGTCAGAAGTATGCAGATGTTTTATCTTTCAGTTTAGTTAGATCGAAGATAATTCTTCACTGAACTCAGTGTAGGCTCTGGTAACCCAGATCTGAGGGTGTAAATTGGTCTAATCTATCCTTTTGCCCCTCTGGGTATCCCACAGAGATTGCATCAAGCAACTCTGGGAGGATGTCTGAATAGCATTCATCTGAGCTAATGATTTGTTCCATGGGAAGGGTGGAAGAACTCCCACCTATGGTGAACTGTGAGAGAGCACTGGAAGAATTTCAGCACTCAAATGAGTCAATTTGTGTCCTTGCTGCGAATTAAGCAGTGAAAATAGGATCTAGCTTCTACTCACAGGCATGCCACTAAGCTCAGTTTTCATGAGCAGATCAGAGAGAAGTGGAAGGAGGTTCTGCAAAGGAGGTCAAGCTCATTCTGCAACACAAACCCCCGTTCAGCTACACCCTGCAAGCACCACACACATACATATGACTGCACTGGTAGAAAAAGAGGATCTGTGTCACAGCTTTTTGCAGGGCTTTACATAACAGCTTCTCAGCACATCTGAGAATAGCTAGAAGGAATTGTTGAGGGAAGTCATAGCGTGGAGACAGCCTGAGCTGCGACTCTTCACTATTGTTAGCAGGGCAAAGAGAGCTCTAAAGTATATTATGTCTCTCCTATTTCATAATTCCCTGTACTTTGACTAAAAGACACTATATGAGATCCAAAGGTTTTACCACCAATAAATTAACTGAGTGTGTGGTTGTTGGTTGTGAAACCAACAGTGCGGAATTTCTTCCGAATGAAATGTTAACATGCACACGGAAACAGAGAGACGCTTTTGAAGATGCAGCTTGTTAAGTCTTTTTAGTAGTGCCACTGTTTGAAGTGGAGGTAATTACAAAGATGTTAAAAAGGGATTATTTTTAAAATGGCAGTCTGTAATTGATGCCTAGTGGAAAAGTCAGTGAGGATAGAATAAAACACACAGACTACATAAACAAAGAAAAGAACGTAAGAAAGAAAGACCTATTAGTGAATAGGAGAAATAAGGAAAAGGACCCAAGGAAAGGAGGCAAAAAAGGCAACAAGAGGAAGAAAAGAAAGATATGTCAGTTCAGAACAGCATGCCCATTAAAGGAAAGACATTAAAATCATACAAGAATAATGCCATGCAGACAGCAGGAAATTACTTTTCATTTGTGATGGAGATTACTGAAGTTGATTTTTCAATCTTGTCTTATTTTTGAATCACAATAAAAAAATCATCATAGAAAGTTAGAGATGAAAACCAGGCTAGTATTTGTGGCAAACAAAAGCATGCATGAAATAGCAAATACTGTAAAAGTCCTTCTGAAAATTCAGCCTGACTTCAACAGGATCTCCTCACTTCCTAATCAGCATCACTACACTCTCACAGACAGCATCCAACTCCCTTGTCTGGCTGCCTTATTTACCTCAATGTAAAGCCTATGAACTCCTCAATTTCTAAGCAGTTTTCATATTACCTGGGCAGCAGTCCCTCAGGATAGATCAAACTGTGGAAGTCCTGGGCTAGATTCGTCCTTATCTGTATTTTAAAGCATTTGGAGATACAACAAGTATCATTTGCACTCTCATCCCTCATCAGTCTCAATTGCACCTCAATTTGTACTAGGCAGGAGAATTACCACATCACTTTCTCCAGCCATAGGTCACCAGAGACATGAAAATGTTCTTACAGACAAGGCAGAGTTGAGCAAGAAATGTTACACGCCTCTGTATTGAGGACTGAATTAAAGCCAGTGCCATTAATTTGTTCCCTACTCTCAGTCAATATCTGGATATAGACCCTGGGGATCTGACACTCCAGAAATGCCAAACTGACAGAAAATGCATGGTGTTATTTCTCCTTAGACAGTGGAGACAATCATGCCTCTTTTATTAACTGCAAAGCATCTAATTCTCAGTTACGTTGAGGACAATTTATAACAGTTTAATATAGTAAAATGGTAATAAAATGGGTGTAAATTGCACTAAAGCTTTTTCTAATGGCCCTTATATTGCTGTAGTGATGTAGAGAGCCTTGAATATCACTGAGGCTGTGGATTAGCACTCTCTTCCAGATCTCGCAGAAGTCCTTAATTCCCTCAGGCCTTGTCCCCATCCACCAGATGAAGTTGCTATTCTTCACACATATTGAGAATTTCAGGTGAGCGCTGTGTAATTTTGACTGCCCAACATTAGCCATCTCTAGCTAAGAACTGAACCTATTGAAGGCAGCCTTGCTAGTCTTCCCTGAGCTGTCAAGGGAAAGGTCTGCCCGTCTGGAAGGTAGGAGAGACTGTGTGCACAGTCTGAGAACTGGGCTCACAAGTTAGCTTAATGATGGTCTCAAGTCACAGGAAAAAGAAAAATAGCAAAAGTGAATGATAGCATCTGAGTTAATTGCAAGCCACAATCAGCCCCTTCATTCCATGGTCAGCTCTGTTGCAACAATATCCAAGTCCCAAGGCATTCTGAATCCTCCTGTACTGCATGCTTCTGACCTCTGAAGCACAGTAGCCACCTCTTGTGACCACAGCTCATAAAGTTGCCTTGCAGATAAAAATTATGGAACCATGAGTTTCCTTCCTGAGAGGAACAGCTGTGCTATTGCAAATAGATTTATTTAAAGATCCTGGTCAAATGAGTCAGTTTAACATCATCAGTGTGCTGCATTCCTGAATAACACAGGCATGATCTTCTGCCCGGTGGGGTGGGAGGATACTTTCCTTGTTTCTGGGGCTTTGCGGTTGAAGTACTTGGATTCTTTCAGATTAGATTTAGGGATATACTCTATCATTGATTCACAACTCCCTTTCGTTCCAGTGGGAAAAATGAAACAGAAGGGCCTCTATGTTAAGGTGCTTAGGTTCTTTGATAGCTTCAGATAATTTCTGAGGCTTGGCATCTAATGTCCAAATTCTTGCTGAGGAAGATCCTAAAATAACAAGCTTTGATGAAGATAAATAGTACAAAATTACGAGAAATGGAGATAAGTTCCATGGGTAACAATATTTTTGAGAAAAATAAGTGTGACTCCCAAGTATATCTGCAATAATATGATTCCAAGTATGTTGAAAATGCTATTTCATCTAGATTTAATTTTATGAGTTCTTTGTACATGTAAAAGTGTTGAGATGAGAAAGCATGCTTACAGAAATGTACAAGGTTTTTCCCCAGCTCAGATACCAATCATGAGAAGTACGTGAAACTGAAGAAAACCGTACAAAATTCTTGAAATATCCTTTGCTTACGGAAAATTAGAATGGAGTTCTTCGTGTAAAATGTTGTGTGGTGAGATTAATGGTGCTTCCTGCTTCTGACAGGGCCAGAAGCACTGAAGGAACAATATATTTTCTGACATTTTTGTACTTCAGCTTTCACTATTGGAGATATTTATACATACACAGTAAACACAGAACAAACCAATTCAGTGAACCCTAAAAACTGTTGATTTGTAGATAAAAGTCAGAGATCCTGTGAGCAGCAGTGCCCTGAGAGTCTAGTGCTAATTTGAATAGTATTTCAAAACTTTATTTTGCTAAGTGTCATTCATGAGATTTGTACAGAAAGCATTACTAAGATAAATCTTGAAGATAACATTATTCTTGTTTCCTCTGATGTATGCAGGAGTTGATAACAAGCTGATTGCCTCCTTTTGACGGATGATTACACACAACAGATGTTTTAATTTGATTATATCTGTGAGATAAGCATAATGCTGTGTTAAGTCCAAACACTTTTTATTAGTCTTTCAAAACATTTTGCATTGCATGTAACCTTTTGTAAATGTCCTTGCTTGAGGCTGTGTGTGTTCCTTAGCAGTGTAAATTATTAGCAAGAAGTTCAAACCAGCGATTATGCAAAAGAAGAAAACTGCATTTAATAGTAGCTGTAATTCTGTGCTCTCGTAACCTAAATGAAGAGAGAAATACGATGCAAGCAATGATACAAGCACAATTGTGTAACGCTACTCTGTAGAGGTCTGTGTGTTGTTGTTCAGCAAAGGATTCACAAAGTGGGTAGAGCTTATATCAAGGATGCTGAAAGGCCAATACGCCATGCCAAAAACCCTGAATTTGAAAATTAGTAGACAAATGTCTGTTTTGTGAACAGAGTGCTGCAAGGAACATAAATTTTGGTTTGCAGGCAATATAAGGTTACAAGATTTGACTCTGATTTGAACTGAAATGTCAAAATTTCCCTGAAAATAAACTTCCTTCACTGCAGTGAAATCAAAGCTATGTATGTTGCTCTCATGTCTTGCTTTTATATGTAAAATGGTGAGAACAACAAAAAATGCAGAACTAATTAGTTGCTTCAAAACAAAACAAAAATATACATATCATATGAAAAATGTCAGAAACGGATGTGTCAAATTTGAAAAAAAATAAATCCCCTTTTCTTTTGAAAGTAATGTGACAAAATGTAATCAGTCATCTATGTTTTGATTTTGGCCAAACTACTTATTCCAGTTGTGTAATTAATAGTTTTGTCAAAGCAATATAAGCATCCTGTGTTCCTAATCGCCTTTTTTTCTTTCCAAACAGACATCACAGGCAGTAATTCCAATGTTTGCCAGTCACTAAAGCATTCTGTAGCTTATATTATATGATGTATGCAATTCCGGGACCATTTCCTTTAGGATTCAAGTTGTCTAACCTCAGATGCCTAAGAAATAGGTGTCTGGGCTAACAGCATTCTGTGTCATCAGCTCACGTGTCTAAAGGTTTTTAAAATACCTAGCATCCTCTCAATTCTCTGATGACAGAAGGGATTTAGGTGGCCTAATATCTTGCTGCTGCCATAAGGGCAATTCTGCTCATCCAGCCTTTGTTTTCTCTCCTGTGGTCTTTGAGCCTGATCTGGGCCTAACTCACTACAGTTAAAAAAATGAGGCTGCTCCTTTAGATGGTGCGAAAGCCTCTAAGTTGCCTCCGCCATCTCGTCAAACTTCACTCTGAGACTAACTTCTAGACAGCTAAAAGTAAGGTGAGATCTCACCCTAAGCCACATATGTCAGCTTATTGTAGGCATGCACACTATCTTGTGTTAGTGCAGCTGTAGAAGCCTTATTTAATTTTGAGTCAATAGAGCTGGGAAGTAGCATATTGTGGGCTTTTTAAGCAAAGCGACACTGGACCTAATAAACTAATCAAAATAACAGCTTTATGGGGACATCATCAGTTCTTGGCTTTGGGCAGAATGATTTAAGTTACAAGTGTGTGCTATGTACAGTGAAACTATGGTTCTTAGTAACAATGCAAGTTCTGTGGAAGCCTGAAAGTATTCTTCGTATGAGAATAATGCTGCAGTCTGCATGGAATTTTGACAGAAATATGATACTGCAAGCTGAGAAATGCTTGGAATAGTAAAGAGAAATCATTTGTATTCAGTAGGTTTTATGGAGTGCTGTAAAAAGCTGTACCTAAAACTGCAGCATGAAGCACTTTGTGTTGTCTTTGGTAGAAGGCCCCTGAGGTGCAGGAGGTACCAGTTTATCCGTGTTCCGGGTATCTCTTTTTCAGGCTCAGAAAGAAAGCACACAGCATTCAGTATTTCAGTATTTTGCCTTTCCGAGTAGCAAACTGAAGTTAGCTGACCCTTTCTCATCCAGCCAGGCTGGAGTTAATTATTTACAGCTTCAGTCTGTGGCGCTCCAGTGCCGGTTCTTTCGTACTTCAGTGAGGGTGAAGTTAAATATTCACAGTTCCAATCTAGAACTAGTAAAGTGCACTCTGCAAATAGGGAACTGGGAACTATGAACAAGGAAATGGAAATAAGTGACCAGCTTAGTCTTGTTTTATATGTTTTGGTTGTCCAGGAAATCCTGATTAGTTTGCATTTGGGCCCTAACAGGGAAGCTTATACTATTCAAAAAGGCAGGACAAGGTTTTGTTAATAGGCCAGTCTGGGACAAATCTCTGAAGAGAAGAGGGATTTACTTCAGCTTGAGCATGGACTTCTGTGACAGTTATTCTTCTGCTGTGGATATCAAGGCAAGATATATTCCTTCTACCAAAAACCTTTCCTGTAGCACCTACCACTCTCATGAGCTATCTGAAAACCCGAAGAGTGACTGTAGCATCTTGTCTCTGTATGGCATGTCCAGAAATAAAAGCAATGCTCAGGTGGAAGAATCAGACTTCTAAAGTCCACTTGCAGTAGACCTCTTCCTTACTGAGTAGCTGGGGCTGCATTGCCTCTTGTGCTAGAGAGAAGGGCTGTGCTGCCAGGCTGCAGTCAGGGATGTGAGACCACTGGAGGGCTGAGCACAGGCCTCCCCAAGGTCTCCAGCTCCTGCAAGCCCCTTTCCTGCTCCCAGACCCCGGAGGAGAGATGCTGGTCAGAAGATGTGGGAAGAGAGCCATAGCACTTGCACAAGGGAGAGAAATGCACGTGAGGCAGAGGCCAGCTCACACCTGGTCACACCTGGATTGTGACAGGTTTGAACAGTAACGCTAAATCTGTATTTAATGACTGTTTAGCTTCTTTCCATATTGGAAGTTAGTCACCAAAGACTAACAGGAGAGCCCAGTCATTATACACAGCTAACTTTCTAAGCAAACAGAAACTCTTTGAGGCCTGCAGCTTG